CAGCGGCGGCAGCCCTTAAATAAAGTTTCCAACATCATCTACAATCCGACTGACTGCACATACTTGAACCTTGATTATCCCACGCAATGTCCACAAAAAAAATATTATATATATATATATACATGTCGCTTTCAGCGTGCAGCTTGCACAATGCCACACATACAGCATCCCCTGAGCTAGACCCCAAACCATTTCCATTGAGACCACTGTCTAGAGGAAAGCAAAGGCAAATCCAGCGCCTTAACAAGTGGGGTTATATGAGGGCCAGCTGTATTCGCAGTGCAAGGAGCTAAGCATTCCAAAGATCGCAAGAGTTGACGATTTGACCCGATTCAATTTGAGAAAATTCTGCGCCCCAAACCTTTGATGCTAGTCATCGGTGCTAGCGTGTGGTCATCAAGGAAGTCCATAGAATGAGATGCAGAATGAGTAGGTCGAATCTAGCCCCTAAGGTCTACTCAAACTTGCCGAACTTGACCGCAATGGCCTTCCTGACCCCTCGCTTCTGCTTGCCATTGATGGGGATTGATTGAAAGGACATTGTCTGGATTCTGCTACCAGCCGGACCCAACACCGAACCGCCGCATTAAGGCAGGCCATCTGTACGGTACGGCCAGAACACTTTACAGCGGCCCCCTTGGGCAAACCGTCGCCAAAGGTCTGAATGAATCCTTTAAAAATTTCTGAATATTCCCCAATCTTTTGTCCAGATGCCTATGACTTGAGGCCTGAAGCCTGGTTCATCCGGACCCCGCCAAGCTGAGGGGATCATACAGCAACATTCCAGGAAACCCACTTGGCCAAAGCTCAGCTGCGGAAACTGGCACTGTTCTCTGAGCTTCCCACATCAATCGACAATCCTGTCAAGGAAAATAACAAAAAAAATTAGATGCGTAGATGAGTCGGGTGCAAGGCTACGTTATCCCTCATCTTATCTAAGAAGTGCAGCTGCGCCTGCCTACAACTCAACATGCCCTGGCTTGTTGCCACTCTGCTGCATCATCTTGGCCAAATCTTTTGCCTCATGCTGAGATATGCTGAGGGTCTCAGGAGGCAATCCACAAGCATGCATCAAAAATCTATCGAAGCGTGAAATGTCTGCTTGCCACATCAAAGCTGCAGTTGCCCCGATGCTTCCAGATCTTCCAGTACCAACGACTTCAGCTGCAGCAGTCCGTCCAGAAACACCAGTCAACCTGGCACTTCGATCCACGGGAGATGCCGGAGACATTGGACGACCTGAACAGTCCAACAACATGTTTGGTCACCACAGACTTAACCTGGCAAGGCAAAACAGGAGTGTCTCAGCGCGGAGCTCACGCAGGGTGCTGGTGCTGCCGATAAGCGAGATGCCTCAACCAACATGGCTAAACCATGCTAAACCAAAACCAACCCACGCCCTGAAGCTCCTCACGACATGAAGATCATGAAGGCGCGCAAACAAAGCAGACGGAAGCGAAGAACGTTGTAGACTGAACAGCTGCAAGTGCTTTCTGCGAGTGCTTCCTGTTGCGGCTACAGCGACTGAGCGAACAATCTCCTCAGCATCAGCAGAAGACGGTGCGAGCACCTCACTCGACAGCCCTCTACTTGGCATCCAGAGACGAGCTATAGCTTCTGGCTCGCGTCGAATCCTGAGATCGGATCTGGTTTGGATACTGGTCGAAGAGATGCCTTGCACATGGGACATCGAGATGCCCACCAGGCACTAGTTGCCACTGGATCAGGCTCCACAGAGGACTGACAAACATCCAGTTCCACTGACTGATGCTGGCTCAACTGCCAAGATTGTACCCAAAGAATTCCCAAAGGCTGTTAGTTTCTCTACTGTCCACTCGCTCCGTCAGGTGAATTGAACAATTGTCCATTTGGCCTTCTTTGCAGGCCGCCGCTTCCAACCACTTCCACATGGCCCTGCACTCAAAGGACGCCGGTTTGCCCGCCTTACGACACCAGGAACTGAAGCCATCCAGCTAAGCATCGAAAGGCAGAAAAGAAAGAGAGAAGCAGGAACAAAGCCAGGGCAAAGAGGTCTGGTGCTCCCCAATTGAAACCCTATCAGTTCCAAAACACGAATCGTGCTCACGCGAAATACCCATCTTCATGCTGCATTTATCCGGCCAACCAAGCATGTGTCAACTTCTGACCTGCAAGCTTGCACAAAGCCATGCGCGTCAAAAGCGTCAACAGTCACAACGACGCGGACCCTGTGGGTCGCCATCCTTGTAACTGTCGTCTCTTTAAAGTGCTCGTGTGTGAGTCGTGTGACCAGAGCGCGAACAGTCAGCAAGCTGCACAGAAAATTTCCGAGCTTAGCTCTGTGGACATCCAGGCAGAGCATAAACATAAAGAGCATGCATGCAAGGACTGAGCCCTGAACTGTCGCATCTGCTTCTCAATCTGAGCCCTGCAGGCTCGTGGAGCATGGCATTCAAACTTAGTCATTGTCTGGGGTCTCAACCAGTGTCCGGGTGTGCATCCCGTCATGTCTTGCACCAGGCTCGCTTTGTCCTCTTGCACGTCAGACCACTTGCAGCACAGAAACGAACATGCCATGAAAACTCTGCCTACTTGGATCTCCCAGTACCTCGCCTTAGAAGCCTTAGCCCTCTTAGTAGCATTTCAAGTTGACGGTCCTCCTCACCGAGGAGCTGCCACAGGACTTGCTTGTCGCCACGAGCCCCTCGGCCTCCGGCTCAAAGCCAATGAGAGGAATGTGCATTACTACATATTACATATTACTACCCATTTTGATGGCTACGACGCCATCTTCTGAACCTGCAGCGCCGTGAGTTGGCGTCCATCCATCCTTTGCCAGAATCTCAACAGCAGCATTCCTTGGCTTAGCAAGATCCGAGATCTCACTTGACAAAGTCCAGCTTGCAGCGGTACTAGACCAATACTAACAGCAAACTTCCGACATTGCTTTTGAGTCTTTTGCAGCAATGTAAAGAAAATGCATGTTGCAGATCTGCAGCGCGCACTCAATTCTAATTTCGGAATCTGAGGCAAAACGCCCTCTGAACTCGAGCGTGACCGGGAAGCCAAAGCTAGTCGAAACGTATTTGCTCCTTTCGGTTCACGCTTGCATGGACAATGCTGTGCTCAGTACTCACAGGCAGGCGTCCTCAGTGCTTCCAGAATGTCTGTTGACAGCGGCGGTGGCTGACGATAGCTGAGGAAACCAGTTCCACTGCAAGCCTCAAGGCTGCTTAGAAGAATCTCGTCTAGGGGTTCCCCTTGATGAATCTCTCCGCAACCAATGAGACAGCCCTCTGCTTATAGAACGTTTGCATCCGTCATGTACACGTCTGCATCCAAGACAGGCTGTCTGCAAAGGATGATCTGCGTGAATGAAGCAAGCTCGTAGTAGCAAAGACTCAGTGGCTTTGGAAGTGATATCAGCGTGCTACCAGTTGCAACGCAAGCAGTGCAGGCAGTGCGGGTAAAGGGCTCGCCCTATCTCCATCCTCCCTAGCCTGCTTGGGACGTGCACACTTGCTGCGAGCTGTCCAAATAGGATTGGCTCAAGTATACTTGCAACGTCGCTTCAAAAGTTTTCTGTAGACATTCTGAAGGTCTTGGTCCAATTCGGTCGATGAAGGATGATGACAAATGATGATTCAGACTCGCGAAAGTTTGGCAGCACACCAACTTCGACAGCCGTTTGAACAGGAATTCAAACGATGCTGACATGCCTTGCCAAAGTGTGGCTCGTCCTCTATCCACTTCCACGTGCTCCATAATTGCTTGGAAACCTGAAAATGACTAGTACGTGGCATGCACGCTGAGAGCGTGCCTCCAGCTTGTCACCAGGCATCAGCCCAGCCTCTTCAGCTTTTGTTCCTTTCCCGATAGAAACCACGGTGGCCTCACAAGGCAACAATTCACAGCCTCACCGATCAGACTAGCACACTCCCGGATAACACTGCCTCAACATGATTTTCGGATTTCCGGCCAACAACCTGTGCAACAAGAAAAACATTCAGGTCCCTCTCATGCATGACTCGAAATGTTGCAACTGCCGTTCTAGGATGGTCACGCGCTGTCTGGCACCCTTATGCTTCATTGGGCACAGAAACCTGTCACAGATACACAACTCTTGGCCAGCCACCTCAACACCCATCTCCACATCACGCATCAACTCCTGGAGGGCGCACTGACTGTGGACAGTCCAAGACCAATTCACTCTTTCTGCATTGTCCCCCAACCTCCTCCGTCTCGTACACCAGGTTTTTGATGGAGAACGTCTTGGGATCCCTGTACAACTGCAGAACCTCTCATCAAGAGGCCCATGGCAGAGTAGCAACAGTCAGCATGCAATGTCTGTGCTTGCAGAAGCTGCCTTTGCAACAAAGGAAGGCTCTCCAGACATCACTGAATGGTTCAGCGCCTCAGACAGTATTGTGTTTGGAGGAATGATGATCAGAGCACCTAGGCCCGCTAGTTTCCTTGGGATGTTCTTGTCTTGAACGGGGTAGTACATTCAGCATGCGTCAATCAGGATTTCAGCTGTTGCCTGGGGTTTCGACTCAATTGTTGGTTAAGGGGCGCAATGCCTTTTGCAGTTGAACGTCAAATTCTTGAGGACTTTAGGGCTTAGGAGTTCACGCGGGCTGTAAGGGCTTGGGATCCGCAAGGACTTATTTGCTTTGGTATGGGGAGTCAGAGCTAAGGCCCTACAGTTTGGTGTGTCAAGACCCGACGATTACAGATTCTCTGGCTTTGGGTTCCGTGAGAACTGCCGGCAGGCCCTGCGGTTCAATGGCTTCAGGACATCGCCTAGGATGAGGCCTTGGAGGTTCTGGGTAAGGTTTCGAAAACCTGGGGCTGAGAGAGGACTTGCAGACTTGGGGCTGAAAGGTTTAGAGGCTTGGCAGTGGCTTGGCGGCCAAGAGCTTCTGTTTGGCACGGGTTTGCAAGTTCTGGCTGGTCTCGCGGGGATTCTTGAGGGATGCTTAAGCCGAAAACATTACGCACACGAAAGAAATGCTGTCAAATGCATACCAAACTGTAAGCATCAGAAAAGCTGCAGGAAGGCTATGTGAGCGTTGATTTAACCACGTAAGGCTTACGTGCGGCTATGCTGGCCGAACATACATTGGGCCAGTAGAACTCGCGCATGGGGCCGGTAGGATTTGTGCATGGTAAGCGAAGCTTTGTGTTTTACACACACTTGAGATGAAAGTCGAACTGCATGACGGATGTGAGCCTGATGTGGCCAATTTCAAAACGTTTGGAGAGACCCTCCGGCGAAGCAGATCTTGCAACAACCCAAACCCTCCTATTCGATTCAACGCCACTGCAAACAAGTCAAATCGAAGATCTCAGTCGGCCACGGAGAAACCATGTGCATCTGTCAAGCTCAGGAGGTATGGGTAATGAGAAACCATTGCCCGTACCTGCTGCTGAAGTCGCTCATGCTTTCAAGTGCCGAAAAATGGCAACACGGCTACACACTGCTGCCCCTACTACATGCCAAGCCTCCCGAAAATTCGCATCCTCACAGAAAGCAAACAGGTCCTCACAAGACACGCTGATCAAGACTTAGTCCAAGATCATGCATGGCACTGTCCCAACCAAATGGCCAGCCTTGAGCTTGGCCATGTCTTTGTCCAATTTTGGTTTCTTGACTCTACCTTTCACGTCTGCACCTGCAAAGTCAACTTCAGGGCACTACCAGACAAGTCCCACTGTTCAATTCAAGTCGGGTGCAAGTGTGCTGCTAGCTAGGGCTGCTAAGGTTCAAACGTTGGTAGTAGCCCACGTCCCCCGGGATCGGGTACCTTCTGAGGGAATCAGCCTTGAAGAATGTCGGTAGTAGGAAAGCTGCGCATTTGGTGATCGAAACGCATAACATTCTGGCACCACTCTCCTAAACAACCCAGACATGCTAGAAGGTTCAAACCATGCACCTTAAAGCCTGTCTGGTGCAGAATTGTTGCGATCCAAACATGATTACTTCTTATGCACAAAATGCGGGGGGAACAAGGGCTTTGCTGCAGCGGCTGCTGCCGTTGCCGTGGATGTCCCAGCCCGCGTCGACCTACAAAAGCTGCGTGCAAGCAGCACAACATCCCAAACCGACAAGACGAAGCAAACAACACATGCCGGTCCACACCCACGAGCAACACTTTGCGGCCGGGCATTTTGCCGAACGGCGCTGGAAGGTCTTACACGCGCAGGCGATGCTGCGCTTTGAGGTCGCCCCAGACGAGGCGTTCCCATCCTCGTTTCACTCCCCTACATTTCTGTGCGGTTGCAACATGACTGCTTTGCAATACTGTCGCCACCACATCATGTACTCTGACTCTTCAAAACGACAAGGCATTTCCAGCCTCGCTGCGCTACTTGGTCGGGCATCCGGGACTGACGTACATGCAGGGTCCGCATTAACAGAGGTGCAGACTTCGCAAGGCTCTGCTACCCTTGGCAGAAACAAGGCTGCAACGTTTTCCGCAATACGTGCCCTTTACCCCTTTAGTACCCAACGCGGTCAATTCAAATATATGTCTACCTGACACTGGGCCAACCTGTGAGAGCGGTTGACGCCATGGCATGATCACGCACACATGCCAAGCGATCCCATAAGGTTACTTATGGAGACATGCAAAGATTCATTCTGTCAAGCAGCACCAAATACACAACGCGAAATAAAGACAAATCTTATCCCAAACGACGGTTCAGCACAACATGTGCATGTTGTCCAATGGCTCTTCCAACTTCCAAACATATTAATGTGCCTTGAACAAACGCGGCTGGTAGGCAAAACTCTAATTTCTGAATGACTGCATCAATGATTGAGTTTGGGTGTTCCCCCAAACAAGCACTTTAAATAGCCTTATGATCTTTCATTCATGTGCTGAAATAGTAAGATTCAATAAACCATCCATCCACTCAAAATATTTCACCACTGCATTCACTTCAGGAATCACATCATGCGTGAAACATGCCATGAATTTTGTGTATAAATATATGGCATCACTGATCTGAGCGAACATATCGAAATCGGCATTGCGGAATACCTCAAATATACATTATTCTTCACAATTTTCATTAAGGCACCAATGCGCAGCACACAAACACAGAATGGGTTTTTGAAATCGGCACTAAACCTTAGCATCCAGTACTTCCTTGTATCTTCAGGTGCCCACGCACGATGCCCTTAGGGTGGCAATCCAATAGTTGTGTGTTCTGCATTGCTCATCGCACATTAGTGGACAGCCGACGAACATGCAGCCCAAGTCTATCGGACGTCCCGGTGGACTCAATGGTTTTTGGCCTCCCGGAGCCATAGCCTCCAGCGTTGGTATACTACCACATACCTTTTCAGCGTGCTGGAACGGGTTCTCCCAGCTATCATTTCCACTGCTCGAGCAAGATCCAGCCTTCCTTCCAGCTTTATCAAAACTGGAGCGGAGCTTGCATTAAGCTCTTCCCGAAACCGCCTCGCCCACATCTTCTCCAGCAAGCAGCTCGCTTCCGGTGAGCTCCAGCTTGCGTATGTTGTCTCCAGGCGGCGGAGCTCCGGGGCCATAGCAGGTCCAAGGCGCCTCCTCTCCGCGAGGCGCTCCCACTCAGAACTGCTTCCAAATTTCATAGCCAGTCCCGCGGTTTCGCGAGACTCCCATATCCAGTCCACGATAGCCTCCTCCAGCTCTTGGCTGGGAATTATGTTCATCTCAAAAGCTATCTGCTTAGCGATTTCAGAGCTATCGTTAACATCTAGTGTAGCCATTTCGCCCGGGCCGAAGCCTACCATATCCACGTGCACCCGGCACCTATCCAGTAGACTACTCATGGCAGCGCGGATCCTATCCGCATTTCCCTTCCCCCAGCCCCTAGCACTCAAAGTTTGCCCCCAGGGGGGTCTAGCATCCAAAATGGCCGATATCATCATGCCATTAAGTATTCCCATGTACAGTTTGAGTTCGACATTGGTGGATGAAAAGCACCACGCAACTCGAAGAAGGCGTAACAAACATTTCGATTGTACATGTGCCCAATGTGAGCATAGAATAGCAGCATGTTTCACTCCGTTATTTATGCGGCTCAAACCACACCCCAGACAGACTGCAACTGCAGAGCAAAAGTGTGCCGCCTGCGGTTAGGTTGGAGTGGGGTAGGATAGGTAAGGGGGGACCTGAATATTTGGTCTAAAACTTTCAAACTTCCAGTGCAGAGACGAGCCCCGAAATGGTCTCGGACCACGACACGCAAACCCGCCACGAGGAGGATGACTTACGGCCCAGCAGAATCGCCGCCAATCGCAGCTCCTCGCCGGAGATGCTTCCCGAAAGGAAGCGTCCTGCCTCTGGCGACGAAAGCTTGACATCGCGCGCATGGTCAGAGCGTGCAGTTCCGAGGCCTAATATAATGAGCACAAGCTAAAGCGCAGGTTGCTTGAGCTAGAGCACATGCGGCGACCGGACCTGCAGAGGAGATTGCAATACATGTCGCTTGTTTGAGCTTGACCCCTACACTTTGCTTTCTGTCAAGCTCATCGTGTTGTGCACAGCTAGAGCTTCACATCCCTCCCACATGGACTTGCTCAATACAAGGGCCGTGCGCATGACTCAACCACACTTGGCAGCATCTATGTTCCCAGCCATGCGCAGGGTGCCAAACGCCACGCCAAACCACAGCCAGCACTGAGCGGGCTGAAGCTCATGACTTGGAACGCCACTGGTCTCTAAGCTGCTAGACTTGCCGAGCTGCAACACTGGTTGGCGAGCCAGACTAGCTCCAGACGTGTGCGCCATAACAGATTGGCGCTCGAGCACAGAGCTCACCACCAATGGCTACCACGTAATCAAAAGTGGCAATGACTCGTGGCACTGCGGTGTCATGGTGCTTGTAAAAACCACCTTATGTGCGCCCGACCAAATTCAGATGCACGAGGCAGTGCCCGGACGTCTTACGCACATCCGCCTTGATCTGAAAACTCCCCTTTTTGCGGTCTACCAACGCGCGCTCAGCCACAGAAACACTGCAACCGCAGATAACGACACCCCCATTCAGTTTATCCTGCAGAAAAGGGAAACCATATCGAACCACATAGACAACTGGGTTCGCGCAGTCCCCCTGAGGCATCATGCAGTGACAGTGGGTGACTTCAGCAGCAATCTCCAGACAGATGCTACGCATGTAGGCAGAGGCGTTGTGTTGCGCCTACTCAAAATCATGCGCCCGACGCCAGGAGACAGCCACTCTTGGTGATCTCAATCACAGTATGATGCAGGCGTGGCCGTGGCAGCTCACTGCGCCACAGGCAAGCCATAGATCTGTCAACCCTGATAAGCAGACCACCACTGATTTGATCAGGGCTACATGGCATCAGCCTCAGCAACTCAGAATCAGTGCTCGAAGCATCAGGGAGCACTTGCAAAGCAGGCGGGATGGCGCCTCCACGCAACTACTCGGCTTGCTTTTTGGTCACTGGCGCACACAGGTTCATGCGTTGGGCTCTGCCAAGACACTCCAAAAACACTGCAAAGAACGCAAGCAGCGGCAGGTTGAGCATCTCATGCTGGAAGCAACTCAGCGCGGCTCTGGCCTCACAGGACTGCGTCGAATCCTACAAAAAGTTGCGCCCAAAACCGCCACAAAAGGAGGACGCAGCTACGTGAGGCGGACGGCAGCTTGCCCAGTACTCCAAGGACAGCTCAAGATCATCAAGCAGCACTTCAGCCAGGTCTATGCTGCTATTGAGACTGATGAGCCCACACCTGCCTTGGACGCCAGGCTCCCGCTCCCTCACTTCGAAATTGCGGAAATACAGCACGCCTCCGCCCATATCCCCAATAAAGTTCTTCCTCACAGGTCTGCACCAGCCCCGCTATGGAGACTCTGTGCGAAGCAGGCAGCGGCGCACATGCTGCAAGATCTGGCCTTCTTGTATGATAAGTCTAGACATCGTGCATCAGGTGGATGTTGTTTTGCTGCCAAAACTCTCCAAGCCTCTTACTGGACCAGCATCGCTTCGCCCCCTTAGCCTGCCTGCTCCCACCTTACGCCAAGATCCTTGCGCAGCTCGTGGCCAATCGCATCAGACCGTTGGTACCGTTGGTCATCACTGCAGCGCAGGACTTGTGGCAATACGCGTACTCGCCGACCAGACAAGCAGCTGATGCCCTTGATCAAGCCTTGACCCGCTGCTCCGAGGTACGCGACGCCAGGAAATCCTCCGCCGCTACTACAATCTGGAAGCGCAGGCAGGGATGTATTGAAGACTCATGCTCAGGCGGTATAACTCTGTCACTTGATTTAAACAAAGCGTTCGATTCAGTGTCATGGACCCTTCTGGAACAAGTCCTCGGCAAATTTGCCATTCCAGCGGAAATAGCACAACTCATCATGTTCCTACATTGTGAGGCACGCTATCTCTTCACGAAAGCAGATGAGGTCACCTCTCTGCAACTAGGACAGGGGATACGACAGGGATGTGGCACGGCTCCCTCATTGTGGACCCTGCACTCCCTGAGCCTCACGAAGCGCCTCGCCAACGCCGCGCCAGGAACCTCCCGTACACTCTTTGCGGACGATATCCGTGCGCAACGGCGGTCGCGCTGAGGCTGAATTCAGGCTGGCACCCCTATACTATGGCGAATGTGCTCAGGCTTTGCCAAGCCTACAAGCTGCAAGGTCAGCGCAGCCAAAACCGGACTGCTCCACAGCTGGCGGGGAGCTCGATCGCATTGCGCCACTAAAGCTTTTGTGGCCAAAGGTTCTTCGAGGTCAGGCTCTCACCCGTTGAAGTCTTGCATCTCCCTATGGTTGAGTCCCATAAATAGCTAGGGATCGTTTTTTACAGGAAATTCGAAACGCAGAGCCTCAAACACCGGCTTCGACAAATTTGGGTGGCCTTCAACCGTCTCGGTCACACTCTTAGAAACCGAAAACTGCCCATCAAGGCTCGACTGCAGCTGCACCAACGCGACCGCATGGCCACTGCTTGCTACGGACTTCCTAGCACGGGTCTGACCAAAGAAGGCAGAGAGAAGTTTCAGAGCACCATGATCAAGCAGCAGCGTATGGTCGTTGGGGATCATTCCTTCATCACAGGTCACACCCATGATCTTGTTCTCACGAAGCACGGCATAGAGTCAGAGGACCCAGCCTTTGACCCACCTCGACAGGCGCACAACACAAAGGATCCAGAATGCCCAGGACAACCCGTATCTGCTGCGCTCACCTGGACTACATGCACGTTAGCAATATATCCTGCGTGCCATCAAGGAGCCGGTCACAGCCACAGCCCAACCTCAGCAGCGCACGCCTGCCCCAAGCTACCCAAGCTCAGTACAATATTTGCGGCCTGGTCTTCCAGGACCAGGCCACGCTAAAGTTCCACTACGAAAGTCCATCAACAACGCACGCAGAGCAAAAAGCCCATCAACAAGCCACGCGAGATCGCGACACCAATCATATACGCAGCATAGCGAAGAGGCCTATCACAGTGCAAACATTGCGGTAAACGCTTTTCGGTTTGGTCGGCATTCATGTCCCACATTAGCCGACAGAGCTGCCCGGTTTTGCATTTAGGGGCGGAGCGC